CCTGGAAAAGGAAAATGGCAAAAAACTTTCAGACTAATCCGCCAAATATCTGCAGCCAGACATTTCACCCTTAGATTTTCTGCCTTCTTACATACCTTTCTATCACCCTACCTGTCCTTCCTGTCCCCTCCAGACCTTCTCTTCATCAACCGATCCACCTGTCCTTTCTCTCTCACTCTCCTTCCTATTACTCTGTCTTACCACACCTTATCTCTCCTCCTTTCTCTCTCTCTCCTCTGCTCCCATTTCTATTTTGGTGTGCTTGGTTGGTCCTTGGTGTCCCAGTGGGCCAGTGTACAGTGTAGCCTACATAGACCTGTTCTACATCTATAACCTTCATAATCTCTCTCTTCTACTCTCACTTCTTTAACTGAGTTGGTAATATTTTAATAGCACTATAAAAGTAGCACAGAATTTCTAAAGCATGGTACATTTAAACTTGTGTTTGTACCTAAAGTACTGGAAAAAAGTTATGAAATAAATGTAGACATTGACTTTGTTTGATATTCATTTGTTTTTTAATGAAAGAAAGATACATTTTGAGCTGCCTCACATTAGGTTTTGACAAGGAGAAAAACGCCTTGCAGAAATGCAGGTGATTGTCAGTTGATTGAGGACAGCTGTGTTTCTAGTAGATCCCTAATGGGAATGCCCCTGCATTGATTTTTTGTGGCAGTAATGCCTGTAGTGAGTGGTGGCCAGACATCAAACAGAGCGCCTGAAGAAAACATGGCTTGTTTATCAGAATGTGATTCAAAACCACACACACACGCCAACACCGATCTCCAAATCCCTCCCCACCGACACATACTATATCCACTTATTGATGATTAAACCAAGATTTGTATCTTTTTATCCATTTTTCTTGACATTCCCTTGATGTCAATGACACAGAGGTAATCATTTGTGTGGTGGGTGTAAAATGTAGACAGAAATAAAAGAGAATAAATTTGAGGTGTAAAAGGTGAAAGAAAAGAAAATAAGAAGAAATAGGGGAATGATAACATATTTTTCCTCCCAGGTGATTTATGTGTTTGTATGCGGATGCCAAGAGTTAGATGTATAAAAAAAAAATTAATAAACTAATAAACAATTCTTT